TCGCAAACATTTGGGTATTGTAACACAATATTTCATTCACATATTTGCGCCGAAGAACGGCGCGCATTCCGGAATTTCCCCGCCTAATAACATAAATTCCGTTAAGTTTATTACGAATTCACTGTGTGTGTGTGTGCACAAGTGCACTGCGGAGTTTATTATGCCTAAGTGGATAATATGCAAAATCCCCGGTTTATCTAGCACCTAAAGTTTATTTAGAAATTACTGCCCGCCTCTGATTCCCGGGTGTCCTTGTCCTTTGGCAACATGTGCCTTGTAGAGACGAGAACGGATTAGACGCCTACTTTGAATATCCTCGTTACCTCTTTGTTTGCCTTCCAGCTTAACTGCATTTCTACCCTGTTTATTCTTTTATAAGCGGAATTTATTATTTTATTAGCGGCATTCTCACTGCTTGGGATCCACAGAGATACGAATTCCCCTGCATTAAGCAAAAGTGGGTCAAGAAGGGTCTTCTGGTTTTGGGTTAATGCTATCTTACGTGGAATACAATTCATTTGATTCAAAATTTCCCAGAATAGGCAACCAGACTTACTTCTACTCTTCGGCCAAATAAGTTTTAACAAGTTAAAGTGTAATAATAATAAAATAATGTTAAAACATTATTTTGATTACATATTTTGTTTGTTAATAAAACATCCACACATTTCTTCTAAGTACAACAATCGGGCTATTTCCTATGTCAAAATTGGACGCAATCAAGCGCAGGAATATTCGAGGGAATAGCACCGAAATCATAAACTTACTAGACACCTAAAAACACTTTATTTCCTCTACCGTTAAGAGAACTTTTAATAAACCTCCAACTTCGTAAAAAATATAACGAAAGGGAGCCTTGAGCCAGAATACTTAGAAGACTAGTCAATAAACGAGCAAAAAATCAATGACTTCCAAACCGTCGTATAAGATGGAGAGCTATCGGGATAACTAGTTGAGTTTTTCAATCGTTTCCTGTTATTTTTTTGGTATTTAAAGATACGTATCATTACAAAAGATACAAATTAAATTAAAATATGAACTCAAAGTAGACTATTCAAATTAGAATACATATAAACGCAATATTTCTGTTGTTATACGTTCATAAATTGAATTTATCTGTGTGAACTATCCTTCGTAATTTCACAAAACTTGTAAAATCTTAGTTTAATTAATAGACCAGGGCAGACTCGCATAATAAAAGTGTAGATCCCTAGATCTGGGCGAGGTCCGGAACATTTTCAAAATAATCCAGAAAAAATTTGCTTGTCTCCTCTCGCTTCCACCTCAAAACAGATCCGCCTTGGTCTATAACCTGAGCGTGAACTTAGCCAGGCGGACAAAGAACATCACGATAGTCGGTACCGAGTATTCACTTGATTTTATATTGCAATTATTCTGACTAGTCTAAAGGGTAACTTCGTATCGAGGTATTATAGTCCTCATCTTCACATTGTAGGATAAGTACCTCGGAACTTGCTTTATTTCATTGCCAATTTGCATGCAGTGGTAAATTATTCCCGAGTTTATTCGCATATTCATGAATACTATAACAGTTGCACCAGTTGTTTTGCTGTTTAGAAGTATCGATCTAATTATCTTCGACAGGATTGAGCTTAAGGCATCCAATAGATTTTGTAGCATACAACATAATAATATAATACTGCCGAGTTATCCCAAAATTTATTTTTGCAAATTTACTTACAACAGAACCTCAAACGGTAAGGTTAAAACCGTTGGAGAGTTTCCTTTCAAAGTGATCCAAAGTAAGTAGTTCACTTAGTGTAAAGTAAGTAATAACTATCAATATTCACTAACAAATAAGACCTTTGCATGAACAAGTTTTAGTTGAATAAGTAATTTATGTTTGGTTATTGTTTGAGCGACAAAGCTAAATATAAAATTTATGACCAACTGAAGGATAGTGTAAATCTGCAGCCATCGTGAAAAATTGTTTATGGAGGAGGAATGAACCTATGCTTTTATGTAGTAAAACACTTTATTGCAAAAGAAATAAAGCTTCGTCTTGAACATATTTGACAAAACCACTTTTAGTATGCTCCCTTAGGGAACAGTATTTTTTGACGAAGTTATTAGGGCCATATGTTTATTGAGGAGACCACAATTATTTTTTTATTTTATATCAGCCAGTTCTTGTCTCTCTTATTTTTCCTGTCTTAAAAAAGATACAACAGCAGTTTTTACTGACAAATGCCGCCATCTTCTTGATGGCAAGGCAAACTAAAATCTTTTAGATAATACAAATCTGATTAAGAACGTTTATTTCTAATGAGACTGAATTTCCCGTGATGTCGAACATGATATTTTCTTTATTAGTCTTTAATCTTTTATTTATGTGACAATATCCTCTACGTTAATAAGTTTCTTAATTTTATAATTATATATTTTCTTTGGTCTCATAATTTTCCTTATGATTTCCATCTCTATTATTCTCATTATTTCGGCTACCGAATACTAATTAGGTATATAGATACTCTGCTGGTTCTCTGTTTTTCTGAGGATTCTCTTTTGGTAATTTATGGTATTTCCAATAGATCTTTCTTGCCGCTTTAATTCTTCCACTTTGAGCTTCCATATATTTTTTTCAATGGTCATAACTCCTAGGTATCTAAAATATCCAATTCGTTTCTACTTGCTGGCAGTTTTTCTTGTGGTTTTACAATAATTCGTTACATATCGGTTTATTACTTGACCTCTAGTTTTAGCTTCTCGCGAAACATAGTTCTTCTCCCAACATCCTCTTGTTCATCGCTATCAGTACTATGTCATCTGCGTATCCCGTAACTTGTTTTGAGCATCGTGTTATACTCCAGTCGAATTAGATCATAAAACCTGTAAATTTGAAAAAATTATTAGTAGACATTTTATTGTACTTTATGACGGGGAAGGGTATCTGTAGAATGATAATAAGTGCAAATAGGTAAGTTAGGTAAGTTTACGTGTTTTTTACTTTTCTTACTGACGACCTATCGGAAAATTAGTAATTTTCTATTATAGGCAAATAAATTACCTACAATTTAAGGTAGCTAGAGTAATTTCTTTGTTTGCTATAAAATGAAGGTCTAACGCGGAAATACCAGTTTTCGAAAATTACGCATGATTATTGACGTTAATTTTAGAAGTTAATATCGTAGATATAGGTTCTAATTGATCCAAAGAAACGTATTGAAAAAGAAAATTTTAAGTTACCCTTTACAACTAACAAGTAGTAGTAGTAGCAAAGGGGCGGCCTCAGCCTGGCAATTAGGCCACAAGTGGGCCCTTTTTGCCTACCCTGCCGTCCCATCACCTATCCCCTCTCTGCCTCTGACCCTCCTCGAACCTACCCGACGCCCTAATGAACGCCAGGATTTTGGTCCATGGAAGGTCTCTCACCTCAACTCCTTGCAGCTCTTCAGCACCAAAGTCTTTATGTCTTATTCTCCCAAAGGCTGCACAATGTCCCAGAAGGTGGACAGGGGTGTCCTCCCCTTCTCCACACTTCGGGCATAGAGGGCCCTCCTCAATTCCTATTAAACTTAAATGCAGTGACCTGTCAGAACCCCCACCATTTGATTTAGGGCTCTTCGACTAAGGCTCAGCAGACATCTCGTCTTGGATTTGCTAGGTCCATGTATAAAATTATGGGCCTGCTTACATCCTCTGTTTCTCCTCCAATTCTGACCTAAAGTTTGATAGGCCCATTTATTGAGGGCCCCATTGATGCTGCCTCGTGTGATACCTAAGATTGGTTCAGGTCCCTGGCCAGGTCTCCTGGATCCGAGACGAGCTAGTTGATCAGCCCTCTCGTTACCAGGGATACCCATATGGCCTGGAACCCAAACCAACTCTACCTCTCTTCGTCTGACCAATGACTCTAGAGCGTCTCCACATTCCTGGACAAGGGCAGACCTAGTCCTCGGGGAGCTAACCGCTCTGAGCGCGGCCTGACTGTCAGAGCAGATAAAAATCTTCTCCTCTACACAATTCCTTACCTCCTCCTTGCTTGCTACCATCAAAATGGCAAAAACCTCGGCCTGGAAGACTGTAGCATATATATACCCAGTGAAACTACAAACCCCAGTACAACTAACAAAGTAGGAAATACAAAATACCGTTATAAACAAATTGTTCCAGGGTCAGGCAAAAGCCGCTCGGGAATTCGCTCTTTTTACATTAAATTAGCTTATTTTTTCGGTAATTTAAAAAAAAAGAGAAATCACCTATGCCTCCTTGTTCCCATGACAACTTTTTTTAATAATGTTAATTGTTAATTTAGTTTTTTTAACCGAATTTGCAACGTGTTAAAGTCGAATAATAAATTTTTTATGTTCAAACTCTAATTCGCCTGGAGTATTATTACATGTCAGTGCTGTCGATAGATTGTCTCACACTTGATCTTTTGTTAATTTTCTCTGTATCTTCTCCGTTGTTATAATTTTCGCTGTTGTCGTAGAAAGAAAATATACACTGTAATGCGTAATTCTACATAACCTATTATATATTACGTTCTCATTATTAAAGTTTTTAATTATTTTCGGGTGTTGTTTCGGCGTTGTATATTTGGCCAGTCGCAACTTACTGGAAATCAGGTTAGAGAGAAAGGACATCATTTTCGCGAAATAATAATTATGACCTCGAAACGGATGTGCTTCCTCAGCTCGTTTGCATCGGGCTCGTTTAATAATTTACAATTTTATTGTTCCAGGGCAACGCCAACAGTGTTAATTGCTTTTCCTCTCGTGAGCTGACAAAGGAAGGGCATTTTCTTAAGGAAGAGGACACTGGGGCATATAAATAATAAACAGTAATCGTCCGCGAGGCAGGGACATAAATTCAGATCCAGGAGTTTTATGTAAAGGAGTGGGTGTGGCAGCTGAATAATATATAATTCCGGCGAGCTCCGGGGTGTTATTGCACCCGGTCCGGTCTCCGGTGGAAAACTATAAAAGTGAATAATGCACTAAGTTGACAGTTCGCCCGAAGCCACCAACTTTTCCCTAATGAGTGGAGGACAGTGTTTGCCGATTAACTCGGCTATTTCGTGTAAACTTTCGTCGGGCTTTGTAGTTTCCTGTTTCCTGCTACTCTTGTTACTTCATTTAGGTAAGTTACTTCGGAATGCCGTAGGATTACATGCTTAATTTACATCAAGTTTAATTTGCCTGAATATTAAATGAATAATCATATTTTCCCGGCTTCTGTTCGGCGCGTAATCAGATATTACGGTATTACCTCCTTAGCTGATTTGCACTCCTAATCCAATTTATCCACGCGGTGTTATATCGCGTTAGGCGCTTTACTTCATCGTTTTTAGATAGTCTTATTAAATTACGACCAGGTACAGGGTACCCTGAATAAAATAATAACTTTTTGAAGTTGAAGACTGTAGAATAAAATTCCTAAGGTACTATTTGTTATTGTCGCACTCATAATAAAGTACGAAAGATTAAATCAAATGAACTGTGTTTGAAACTATTTCGGACAAGTTTTTCTACAAAAGGACGCTGGAGCAGTACATTTCATAAATTGAAAAATATAGGAATAATAGATTATTAGAACTGTCCGTAGGGAAATTCCATAAATCCAAAGGCATTTCAAGAAATTCGCATTACTTGGTCATTTTTAGACACAGCCTTATTAAATTGAGACCAGGTACAGGCTACCCTGAATGAAGTAATAACTTTATGAAGTTGAAAACTGTAGAATAAAATTATTAGGATGTTATTTGTTATTGTCGCAGTCACAATAAAATATGAAAGATTAAATCGAATGAACTGCGTTTGAAACTATTTCGGACAAGTTTTTCTAGAAAAGAAAACTGGAGTAGTACATTTGCACAAATTGAGAAATATAGGAATAATTGATTATTAGAACTATCCGTAGGGACATTCCAGAAACCGAAAGGAAAGGCACTTCAAAAAATTCGCATTACTTGGTCATTTTTAGATTCAGTTTTATTAAATTGCGACCAGGTACAGAGTACCCTGAATGAAATAATAACTTTCTGAAGTTGATTACTAGAACAAAATTCCTAAGATATTATTTGTTATTGTCGCTGTCGCAATAAAATATGAAAGATTAAAACAAATGAACTGTCTTTTAAACTATTTCGTACAACTTTTTCTAGAAAAGGAAGCTAGATATGAGTAGTACATCTACACAAATTGAGAACTATATGAATATTTGATTATTAGAACTGTTCGTAGGGACATTCCATAAACCCAAAGGCACTTCAAAAAACTCGCATTTTTAGAAATGTCCGCATTAAATTAATTGTGTTCAAGTAAATGGTTCCTTGAATGAGATAATGACTTTTTGAAGTTGCAGGCTGTAGAATAAAAGAAGGTGTTGTTTGATATTGTGACACTCATGATAAAATATGAAAGATTAAAACAAATGAACTGTTTTGAACACGTTTTTCTAGAAAAGAAAGCTGACTGTGAGTAATACATGTGCAAAAATTGAGAAATATAGAAATAATTAACGGTTAGAAACATTGACATTACATAAATTTCGAAATTGCAAATAATACAATTTTGTTACCACATATGTATTTGTTACATAAATCTCGATGGTTCCAACTTGGAGTAACAACTATTGTTTTGAACTGCAATATCAAGACGTGTTAAATTGATAAAACAGCATTTTAATAATTATTAACATGCTGTTATATTAAAGAAATGAATTCTTCGTGAAAAATTAATAAAAGGGGTTTTTACTATTTCAATATCTTTAAAGGCAAAGTTACAATTTAACTAAAATTTTCCTGTATAGATACAAGTAATAACGGTAACCATTAAAACATCCAACATTTCTACAAAGACTTAACAATTTATTAATATTAAAGTGTCGTAACAGAACAAATCATTAATTTACACTTTAATTATTGCTTTAATTAGGGCTCAACTACTATAACGTTTAATTTCATTCAAGAAATAAATAATAAATGTTTCAATTTCACAAATTCTGCGCGCCCCGAATAACTGAGAAATAGATGAAAAAGTTACATAAAGAACAATTAATTGCCCTCTGTGGTTATTCCAAGATTTATGCTCGTGAAAGGAAACTAATTACGGCTCTTAATTAATTCCTTGTTATATAACATAGACAACGTGTCTTTTTGGGAAACCAAACATTTAGTTTAACTTTGACGATGTATATTATAAAAATTTATAAGTATAAGTAAATATTATAATTTTCTGGGGTTTCCCATTTATTCAGTTATTTTTACAAAAGAATCAGATGATTTCTCCGTATGGCAAAAGGGTACATTTTCTTTTTGAGATGCAGTTCGTGTAAAGATGATTTATTAAAATTATATTTTAGGCGCCTTTCCAAAAAGAAAACAACATATTTACGTACTTAATGCCTCAGTGTTGTTAGTTTTTGACCGTCTGCAAGAGGGCACCAGTTACTATCTATCTTAGCGACATTTCATGACATAACGTTTTTGAGGTTAGGTTCATTATAGCCTTTATCTTGTATTACAATTGAAAATTTCATTTTACAAAAGACCTAAAGCTTGATCTAAATCAGTTTACTTTTTTCCACTTGAAAAATCGCATATTAGCTTAAATACACTTAATTTTAGTAAAAAGGTAATCATATAAAAAACAAAGTAATATTAGATATCAAAATACAAAGCAAGTGCAAAAAAGCAATGAAGGAGAAATAATAAAAGAAAAATGCAAAGTAAACAAATGACAAAATGTTTTATTTAAATTTGTTATGAATAGTTTTTGACCAATAGGTGGTTTCTAAGGGAACGCATGGTTCGAAAAATCAAATTATTATTATTTGCTATTGTAATTGACTTCTATTTCCGATAAATTCAGAAGGATTACTGTAAAACGGTTATCAAACTGTGTGTATAGTTAATTATTATCGAAGATACGGTCCAGATAAAGTGTTATACGATTTAGCAGTCGTACTATAAACTAGGAAGATAATTAAATAAACATTATATGTAGCGCCAGTTGCTGGCAATCGTTTTAAATGGCCATTCTAATTGCTACCATCCCAGTGATAAATACAGCAGAAGCGCTAAATAAAAACAAAAGATGAAGACTTTATTCTTTCTCTCGAATAATTTGTTTGCTCTTTGATAATTGATAAGTTGCCGATAATTATCCCCATTTGCTATTCATGTTTTTCTAAAATGTGATATTAGATGCCAACATTTTTGTTCGAAGAATATTTTTATGCTTTTTTTTATATTGATTTTAATAAACCTTGAACATTTTCAAAACTTAAAATAGAGTTTCAAACCCCTTGCGCCTTCTTTTCTCAAAGCAAGTAAATTTAAGTAGTTTAAAAAGTTGTATATTTTTTAATTAGTTTTGAATAGTAATTATGGAAGTAAGATCACAAATAGTCTGTCGTCTTTACCGGTTTTGCTAAAATGAAGTCTTGATGTGCTGTTAAGTTCTTTGTGATATGTCTGTAATGTACATGCGAAGATATATATCCATTTATCTTTTGAGGCAGTCCGTTCCAATAAAAAGTTATTACAAAATTTCTCGATGCTTTCATATTTCATAATTTGCAATTCCTTTCCGTAAATAATTAATATGCAAACAACTCCAGCAGCTTCACATCAGACTTATTCATTTTGTCAACCGCTTTTTAATACTGTAATAGAGGTAGATATTAAAACGTAATTTTTCATACAGTCGCCTTTTTAAATATACAATTTTAATAAAGCAAGGCTTCGCTTATACACAGTTACTTTTCTTGGTAAAATGATACACTTCGCGTTTCTCTCATTTTTTCCCGAAAGTATAATTTCAACGAGATTATTAATATCGATCCTCGTCCGAAAAACAAGTGAGTTGTAAGGACGTTCTTTTATTTTTAATGATAGAGTTAGTTTAACTTTAAAGTCGGTGGGTTTTGTGAAGTTTAGAATTGCCCACAATACCAAGTCATCTGAAAAAGTTAGTCCGCCGATTTTTAACAACTTTTGCATGAAAGTTGAAATAGAGTTGGCAAGTGCTTTTCAACTTCGGAATAGTTTTAATTTCATACGTGCATGCAGATGGTCAAACTACCTCTTCGCAGCTTAGGTGAATATCTCGTTAAAATTAAGATACGCAAAAAGTTGACTGTGGGTTCCAAACTGCATTAAAAATTTATTGTTTTATTTCGTGTACGGGTGTGACTATTGCGGTCGGCTTTCCCATATTCAGCGCAGGAGTCTCATCCTGTAACAGAATTTTCTAAATGTAAAAAATCATTATTTGGCGTGATAACCTAAAAAATTATAGAATATTCCAACTTTTTTTTTCAGAAACACATTTTAAAATCATTTATAAAATTCTACTCATGCGTAATTCGTAGATTCTCTTATTTTTCAAATCAAAATCACATTTACGAAGAAAATCCATGAAGTACATATAATTTTCTCTCTGGTCTCTAAAATTCAAAGATTGAATTGAAAATGTTCAAAGACGATATCTGCAGAGGTACATCAAAGCAGAATCCATAATTTTTTTTCCAAATTTTCCCAGTAAATTTTCATCAATTTGCACTATTTTTCACAAGTTTTTTGAGGTTAGGAAAAAATTGTGACGTGATGGGCCAATTCTGACCCCAGATTCGTGTTCAGGGGGCCAAATTACTACGAAAAATAAATGTCGCATAAAAAGTATACCCAACTTTTTTCTTCTGTGTGGCTGTGAATTAATAAAATACAATTAAATAATAAATTTTTATACATAACGTTTAATTATTATTAAAGGAAATAATTTTAATGGCAGTAAAAAATTCTGTTTTTAATTATTTCTCGAAGTGGTTATTAATTTAATGGCGAAACATTTTCGAAATTAAAAATTTTTAACCACATTCCACTAGATATTTCTTGAAATAACAAGTTACTCGTCGAAGCGAATCTTGAGTAAAAAAATCATAACAGAGACGGCCCTGCAAACCATTCTAATGAACAAAGACCATCAGTGTGCACTTCAGTGTTACTATTTTCCTATTTGAGCTGCCTATCTGAAACGAAACTTTTTAATATACCAAAGCGGATACTTCTGGTTTCACAAAAGGGCTAATTGGGTATAAAAACAGTGTTTCCAGTCTTTGTACGTTAGCTGACTGCG